CGCACTCGAGTTGAACGTGTAGGATGTGTGTGGGACGGAGGCTTGTTTTTGGCACTTTGCACTTATTCCAGTTCTATTCTTAACATTAATGTTTTTTTTTTTTTTTTTGGTGGGGGGTATACATTTTTATTCAATCACTGACCCCTAGAAATTATCAGTACAACATTTATATAGATCTAATGTGTTTAGGCTCTTAATTTCCGCTTGTGCATGGTCCCTTTGGGGGCTTACAGTGCTTGTTTATCAAGGTATATAATGTGTGGCATTTGTAGATTTATTCATGGGTGAGAAATATAAATACACTTATATATTGATAAATACATTTTACATCATACAATAAGTGTCACGTGGGGAAATTTAATGAACTTCATGCCCACCTCTCTAAAAGATCTCAAAATTTGTGTCTATTTTTAAATAGCAAAAAATAAAGAGGAAGTGGAAAAGGGTGGCAACTCCTTGCGCCGATGCACAGCTGGGCGCCTCGCACACACACACAAACACACACTCGCACGTTATATAAAAGTGATGCTCTCTACTTATCGGCAATGAAGTGCGTCCTTGTGTTACATAAACTTGAATATGATGAGCTGATGCTAATGGCCTTCAGGGCAGTATTTATCCCCGTTGAGTCTGACCCAGTGCCGTTGTAAAATGTGATCAGAAGCGAGTGTAATTCTTTAAAAATAACAATACCTTCTGTCTGTCTGTCTGTCTGTCTGTCTGTCCCGAAACCACAAACTTTTGGTGTCATTTGACGCCCCTTGTGGTGATAAACATGCGTCACATGTTTTCACCAGAAGTGCATCTATAAAATTATTTCCCTTAATTTAGTAGTGACAAGGAACATTGCAAAACGTCTCTTGTGATACGTCCCATTGTTTTAAAGTGAAAACCAGAAGCAGTTTTCCCCCAGCAAACAAGCTGGTTTTGACTTTTCTTGGGCCTGATCATGTTATCCTTCCCAATTCTGTTGGAATATCACTGAACTGATGTCATTGTGTTTATTTCCATTCCAGCAGCTTGTGTCATGATGAAGTGATACTGTTATGTTGTAGGGTTATCGTGGCAGACTGCTGGCGTACTGAGATGACACAGTGAGAGACCTTCCCTCCTGTAATATGCTGAGCACTGTTGTGCTGTATGATAACCCTTTTTTCGAGCATGGCTCCAGATGGCCTGTGTGTTTCCACCAGCCTCGCAGGCCTTTTGTTTAATGATTTATCACATTTCCTGCTTCGATACTGTTAGAATTCGATGCAGCTCAGCACCCGGCTGTTACAGGGGGGGCCAGTGTTTTGTCACGCAGCGTTGTGCAGCCCTACAGGGGTTCAGGGCTGATAGCTGTGGAATGACTGTCCCATTCCACACTGAATCTCATCTGCAGCGCTCCAATCTTATGTGCTGTTCACACTGTTCACCCAAAATTGTTTTTGTGCTACTTTTGAATTTTAAGTTGTCTGATCATCTTGAGAAAACAAAATTCTTTTGAAGATACATGAATTATACATGTGTTCAAACTTTGGGGGAACTTTTGGTGATTTATGCACATCTAACATCTGCAACATAATTCAGACACAACCAGTGACAGTCAGAGTTTTTTCTTTTAGGTCCGTCCCAGACTCAGTGCACACCCAGGCCTCTTCCAGCCCTGGGCACCCAGAGGATTATTCAGGGCAACGGTACCAATGTGGGCACAGTCATTTCCCTGCAGTGCCCAGCCAAACACAAACTGGTCGGTAGTGAGCTGATGTGCGTCATGGGCAACAACAGCACCCACTGGGTGGGGGAGAACTACTGTAAACGTAAGTAGAAACAGAAACTTAGACCTGACAGTTAATATAGAAAGAATGGCAGTCATTGCAGGAGTAGCTCCTGGCCAGGGGGATATTACTTTATGAACGTATTCATACACTGAAATGTGTTTGTGTGCAGATTAAATGTTCCCGATGCTTTACTGGGAGAATTGCAGTGGCTGCAAAACTTGCCCTGAACTGTCTGTCAGCTCATTATTCTGAAGAGATGGAATATATATTAAACATTATGTGATAGGCATTGTGGCTAGTGGCAATGTTACATGAATACACTTAAGGTATTAGTTGGCTTGCACTAATTAAACCTCGAAATTATGTGAAAACACATTCAAGAGAAAATAATTTGTTGCTTGGGGATAAAGCTCATTTAAGGAGAATATTAATGCAAATGCAGGTAGAGGGGAATGATTACAAGCAGGTGCAGAGTTAGTCATTCTTTTGGTGGATGAGTGAGTGGAAAAAGTGAGAGTACCATCTTAATTATGTTTCAGGATCAATCATCATGGGAGAGAAGAAACTGAAAGAAATGAAAAATGGAATTTGTGTTTTATTGTCCTTTCCATGATGAGCTGACTTTATTGATGACTTTATTTCCGCCAATCTCCTCTGGTTAAATGGTAAATGAATAATGAATAATGAAAGATGTGTGATATAGCAGTCTTTGTGACAGACTTTATCTAGAAAGCCTAAGCATGGTTGCAATACTTTTGGGGCAGTCGAGTTTGATTAGGAAATGTTATACACAGATTTTGCAGGTTGATGAATGCAGTTGTCTAATGCATTGAGCGCATTACATGGAAATAAATCAGTCAATAGTCTTCTTCTCTCATACTCCAGCTCTGTCTCCCTATGAGGACTATGGTTTCCGTGTGGCTGTGCTGGCATCCATTGTAAGCTCAGCCATTATCTTCCTCATGTCCATGGCCTTCATCACCTGCTGTTTGCTTGACTGCATCAAAGAGGACAAAAGAAAAAAGGAGGAAAGGTGAGTGAGAAACAAACAGCAGTGGAAGAAGTACTCGGATTGTTTACTTAGTACCACAGTGTAAAAGTACTCCATTATAAATAAAAGTCCTTCATTTAAAAGCCTCCCAAAAGGTGGCCTGTTGGGTTGTGTTGTAAACAAACAAACGTTATGTATATATTCATAATGTTACCCCTGAAAATGGATTGTGTGCATCCTTTAGCTCTAACAAATGTGTTGAATGCATAATTTCCTTCCTCATAAAATATTTGCAAAGCCAGTTTTGAAGTATTTTAAATCCAGTATTGTTAACATCTGTCTTTATGTATGCATGCTTGTTTAGAGAGGAGATGTCTCTTTGATTGAAGAAAAAAGTCATAGACATCTGAAATGTGTCAAGGACAAACAAACTACTAGTTTAATCTGGAACAATATTTTATATTAAATATGTAGTTATTGTGATTTAATCAAAATTCTGTAAAAACTAATAACTATAGCTGTCAAATAAATGTAGTGGGATAAAAACTACAACATTCCTCTCTGAAATATAACAGCAGTACCTCAAAACTGTACTTAAGTACAGTACTTGATTAAATAAACCTAGTTACTTTACATCACTGAAGGAAAAGGATGGACAGAAACAAAGAAGAGAGTTATCCTGTGATGCATTTACAAACTGAAATACTGACGTACAGGTTCACATTGATTTCTTTGAACAGGGAGTCAGATGTGTGGCAGTGGGAGGAGCAGGCCCAGTGCCAGGAGGACAGCAGGTCTCGTTACAGCCATAAAGGCAGGAACAACAACAACAACAACACCCAGGAGAAGGGGCTTTCACCGTGGGACACCGGTAACCCAGCCATGTGCGACAACACGCGAGTCTGCAGGTGAGATCTTGGCTGAAACAGTCAAAAATGAAAAAATAAATAGTAAAAAAATTGTCCCTGAAGGCTTACAAATCAGCTGAAACATTTCTTTTCTTCCCTCCACAGATGTCATCAGCAGTACGCCTATGGTCCTGCCCACACATATGGCCACACTCCTCTGCTTTCTGCTCTCCCCGGCTATGACTATGACCAGCCTCTCTTACCCCAAAACCCACAATCTGCACAAATCTCCGGTCCGCCACCGCAATACTTCGGACCTCCTCAGTCTTCCTGTCAAACTACGAGCCCAGGCCTGGTCCACATCTCAGGGCCGGGTTTAGTGTGGCAGTATGGAGGACAGCAGAGCAGTTTGTCGGGAGTGAACCCATCAACCACAGATGAGTCCAACGCGAAGAATATAAACCCTGCCAAAGAATTTTCCATACGGATTATATCAGTGTGAGGACACATTGCCCAGGAGGTGAATACCATCAGTACTAACCAAATATGTACAACAGCGTCGCCTGTATCAATGAGGACTAGGGGAAGAAATTACTGAACATTCCTGGTCTTGTTGAAATGTTCGTGTCTGCAGTTCTACACAGTATGAAGGCTCCACGGGCATACTGATCTGACAGACGTATGTGCCTTTTGTAAACTATAATGGCACACTGCCCTCTGTCTGAAACGGGGAGCCATTGCACTTTCAGGACACCAGCCTTGTTGGACGACACTCCCTGTAATTAGAAGTTCAAGATACTTTCATGCCCTTAATTGAGCTTTTCAGAAACCAACTAAATCATTATGTTGTGGTTAAAGTTAATAGTTAAGGTGTTTAAAAGGATATAGTTCACAACACATTGTAGGCAGCTGAGGAAGTTGTCTGAGAAACTCATCTCAGGGCAGTTTGTTGGACGGGGGAGAGCAGCTGGAAAGCAGCCAGTATGTAAATATCTTTTTTTTTAAAAGAATGTAAATAAATAAAAGACTTCTACTGATAATAAGTGAGACTGTATTGAAATAGACAAATGCAAATGTTTACAAGCCAACATGATAAGGCAGCAGTACAGTGATTTTGATTGGATGTGTAATGATGGAGCTTACATACAGGAATGGCATGTCAAAGAATGTATTAATGACTTATAATAATAAGTAAAATGTATTAATATGATTATTATGATCATTATGATTATTATGATTATTATGATTATTATTATTGCCAGGTCTCTAATGGAAAAAGGGAATAAAATAAAGTGATAAACGACACCTCTCACCTCTGGCTCAGTGTTTGCAACAGAAAGCTTATACAGATCCTGCTAATCTGCCTGTCAGCTCAGTCTACCGTCGCTGATAATCATCATGTGCCCAGAGGTCAGTCATGTGGCCCCGGGATGCGCACGGCGGCGCAGCGTGCTGATGTAACGGGACAGCAGAGACCGTCACACCGGGGAGAACAGGAAGTTTCACCGGGGAGGTTGTCGGTCGGAAGGAGCGAGTGCCACGCACGTCGTTTGTTTGTCAGTATGACAGGTTTGTGAAACAAGGGTAAGATGTTTTGTTTTGATTAAGATGATTTACACTAGGCTAATCCCTGCGCCCGGACTTCTAGGATACACAGGATCGCTGACCGCCCACTGTGCCGTGAGGCTGCACCACTTGTTGCACAAACGTTTTAAGTTTAGTCGTTGCTATGGCAATATGTTATTATTAAATAACACATTGATTTTGGCTTCATGTGAAGAAGTATTAGGGCGTTACTTAACAACACTTGAAAGAGGCTGAATATTCTGTCCTGATATCCAGCCTATAAATAAAAGACAGGTTGTGTATATTTAATACATTATGGACTGCCATTTTCGTCAGAATATTCAGATCTTTATTTAATATATAGATATGCATGATTGTCAGTCACATCCAAATCTGATTTATTTTTTTCATAAAGAACTGGCATAAATCTGACATTGGAATGAGGTAGTTTCATTTAATCTTGTTTATAGCAGGATATTCTGACTCATTTGTTTAAGGATGTGTTGAAAAAAGACAAACTGAACTTGCACACTGGAAAAACTATACAGATTACAAATTATTACCTCACTTATTTATTGTCTACTACATTTTGTTTAGTTGCCTATTTGCTGCATGTCTGCTGGATGAGCTGTAAGTACAAGTTTACTTGTGTAATGTGGTACAAGAAATCTTTCAGAAATCCTAATGACGGATATCAAACACACAACTGCACAGGCAAAGATCATCAATGGCCACGAGTTAACCCTCACCGAGACTTACTAAAGGACACTTAACGGATATCAGCCACTCTAACTTCTTGTCATAATGTCCCCGATCTCTGCTCACAGTGAGATCCCCATCTTCCTCCATTAAAGTGAGCTGGGAAGGACATCAACAGTGAATTGGCAGGAGAAATGTAGGGTTTGGTGGCGCTAACAGGCATAATAACGAAACCAGGGACTGTATCTTTTAAAAGCTTCTGTAGTATACAGCCACAAATGGCCATCAAGGTGAGCCAGCACCTTTAATACTCAACAAAGAATGTGACCTTCACCAAACTGGCATTCGCTGCATCTTTCTGTTATTAATGCACACCCTAACTCATCATATCATCATAATTACCTGATTTTTAGTATTATCATTAATCAAAGAAAGTGTTGCCAACCATTTTGCAGTGTATTCATCTTTCTAAACTGGAGAATAAACCTCTTAGTCCTTTATTTTCAGAACAGGACTGGTGCCAGGACCAGCTTACTAAGAAACTACTTAAGACTAGACATAAAATCTGCAAGCCTTCAATTAGAGCTTTGTAGGTTGCTCCAATTGTACAGGGTCATAACCTGTTTCTGATTTGACCTCCACACTATGGCATGTACGACTTCACGGATGTGTTACTTTATGAATATTCATTCAGAAATTAGGAATGAAAGCGTGTATGAAGTGTGGGGCTCATTTTATTTAACACTGTCTCTTGCTCGCCCTTGACTAGACATTGACGATCACCATGAGCTGCTCCAGAGGGACGCACAGTTCCTGTGCTCAGATCTGAGGATGGACACTGAACTGGTGGACAGACTGGTGCTGCAGCTGAACAGGATCTACCCCCAGATACTCAGTGACAAGGAAGCCCACAGGGTTATTACAGATAATATATGACACTGTTCCAACAATAAAACACACATCCTGTTTTGACAGTCATCATGTCCTTACACTTGAAACTGCTAAACTGAAATTGGAGTTGGAACAGAGGCACAGTGTGCAGGTATATAGGTACGTGCAGTGATTGAATTCAGCATGTGTATCCCTGCAGTTTAGGAACCTGAGCGTGCCCACCAAGGTACGGTTAGCTGAGCTGCTGAAGCACCTGCATGCGAAGGGGGAGGAGGCCTGTCATGAATTCTACAGAGGACTTCACATCCTCGCCGAGGACATCTATTCTAGCCTGCCCACCAGAGTCATACAAAGAGGTAAAAGCAGGGCTTGAACAGGGCTTCTCAGACGTTTTAGTGGAATATTGCCATACTTTAGTCAGATGAGAATCCTCTCTCTCAACAAACCTGTGGTCCTGCATCTGAATGTATTTTTGAGATGTAACTTCTTGCAGTAGTTTAGTGGAGAGATAAAATTAAAGGTCTTATATATAACACACTACATTTAACGATAAAAAATAAGCCCCGGTAAATAAAATGTGAGTGACATCAGTACCCAGAAAATGGCAAAATGTGTGTTAAACTATTACTTACTATTTTCTACTTTCATTTTTATTTTTTTTTAGTTCTGTTACTCAGGTAATGCAATATATTTTAAGTGACATGGTAAGGCAGATCTCAACCTCCTCGGTGTCCCATCATGGTGGATACCCTGCTGTGTAATTGCCCAGTCTGACCTTATGCAGCCTTATCCTATTAAGATACAGAGAAAAGCCAGGCATGCAGTTCAAGTAGTGGATCGGACATTACACAGACTGTTATTTAAAGTGTTGGGTTTACCCATCAACCATTTTTACTCTCTGTTATAGAGGTGGCAGATCCAAAAAGGACTTACAATATGGCAATCTACCCAGAGCGATATGTGCTAAATGATAGAGGTAAATCTACTCAACATCTCACACTACTGTTGAATACAGTAGAGAATTTTATGTGTTTTCTGTTAAGTTAAATTGCAAATACAGTCTAATATAAATATATATTATCTGAGTGTTTGGTGTAAAACAAATGATGACACCAGTGGTTTTAGCCAAGTATGTGCAGTCCATGTATACTTTACATTACCGTAAACCACTATTCAAAGCAGACCATATGGTTTGGATTGATTCCAGGTTTTCCAGGCAGTTTTGTATTTTCAAACAATCATCTTGCAGATATTTTAAATGTAATTGAGAGTAATGAACAGTAATCCATCACAGTAAGCAGTCAGTCAGTTTTAGTTTTTGTCAATTTTATATTATGACATTATATAGAGATACAGTTGCAAGAAGGAATGAATATGAAAACACTTCCTCTTTGGTGCATTCAGGAACACTTTAAAACCTGAAATGTGATGATTTAATCCAAAAAACTACAGAATTCCCATTAATCTTTTCTCACTGATTGTTTTACTACAGACTTGAGTGACTTTGATTCCATGACAACAGAGCTCATCAGTGCATAACGTGTCCCTGCTCAAAACTGCATTAAAATGTGATGATAACATAACTTTGAAATGAGAGCAAGATTTGCTTTTATAATTTGGTAGAGGCTTTAGTAATTAGATTTGATTAGATTCAACTTTATTATCATTGCACAAAGTACAAGTACTAAGACAACGAAATGCAGTTAAGCATCTAACCAGAAGTGCAAAAAGCTGTAAAGTGCAGACTAATGTGCATATGTAGAGGGATATAAAAAATAACATTATATATATATATATATATATATATATATATATATATATATATATATATATATATGAATATACTAGCAGGATATATACAGTATGGACAGCATTAACAGAATGAACAGAGTGAAGTAACACTAAGATATACAGGTATTAGGTTAAGATATTTACAGTATGAACAGATTAGCAGTAATTATATAGTGCAGATGTAGGTACAAGTAATAACTTGGTTGACATTATATACATACAGCTAGGTATGGATACACTAGAGGTAGATATGTGCAGTATAGACAGAGGCAAGTCAATACACTATAGATATATATAGTAGGACAGTATAAATACTAATGACATATATATTAATTGTAAGGGAAAGTTACTCTTAACAGACAGAAAATGTATTTGATATCTGTTCTGTCACTTTATTCTATTTATTTATTTTGTTGTTAATTATGTTCTTTTATGTTCTTTTTCAAAAGCCAGTACAACAAAGTGGGCATTGTGATGGATTAGCTGTTTAAAGAAGGTGTCCCTGCACATTGACTTTCAATCTTACTCTGACATGAACTGACACCGATGGCTGCCTGGAAAGTAGGATGTCATTCTCACAACTAGTGGTAAACTTTGTGAAATGGTGGGCAGCAGTGTAATGTAACAATAAATTGTAGTTAAAAGGCTAAAACACACCTTTAATCTGCAGAAGTTTAATTTGGCAAAATGGCTACTAGGAATGGTTTTTTTTAAATATGGTGGTCTTACAGTTTGTGTATGTGTGTCACTGTACCTCTGTACCCCTCGCTGATCCTCCGATAAGCCCCTTAAGCCCAACTAAGCTTTGTTCTTCTTCAGCAAATGCAGTTGTCTGCTGAACCTTTTAACCCCTAGCATCAGAATGTGGGCCCCACACTCTGCACTGCTTCACCATTCATCATCCCATTGCATCCAGGGCTCTGGCTTTGTGGGTCAGTTAAGCTCACGTGTTAACCGCCGTCCAAAACAGCTTCCTCTGTCCTGCATTCCTTTGAACAGTCATGGGGCGCATCCACTGGGTCAAAGGTGTGTCAGCCGGGAAATGGGTCATCTCTGATGTTATGAAACACTCACTCCCAATTATAAGTCACACAAAGAAATGGCTTATTTAGACTGTGAATAACAAGACCAATGTCTTTTCACAGAGCAGCTTTGGACCCTTGACTCTTGCCATATGCTAGTGTACATTTCAGTTTGTCTTAGTAACTTTAGTTGACATCATTTATTAGGAAGATACCGACCTACTATACACATTTAGTATGTCCACTTGCTTAACTTGCTTTATAAGTGTTATTGGTCTAATAGTCATTGATGACAACTTTATCTTTCTTCTGTCTATCTGCAGGACCAATGTTCTTCCTGAGCTGTCTCAGTTTTGTAGTGGGTATTGCAGTGCTCTACTATTACAGAGGTGAGTCCTACAGAATTATGTAGAACTATTCAGACCTATTTGTTCTTTGGCATGTTAAATTTTTCTTTGGATTAGAACCATTATTGTACAAGAACATGTAGCCTCACTAATTGTTTAATTTCATAACTCTGTGTTTAAATATTTCCTAAAACTCTTTGTTGCCACTCTTTCTGCCCACAGAGGGTGAGACATTGAGATGCACTGGTCCGTTTCTTCACTGCTCTGCAGCAAGACTTAGTAAAGATGTTTTAAATACCTATGCTGAAGTTGGAAGCCAGACAAAATGAGGCAGTTAAGGTGCTTAAATGCTTAAGAACGAGCCATGTGAGAAGAACAAGCAATGAAATTTGCCACTTTGCTGTGCCAAACTCATAACGCTATAAACTCTTTTTTCTAAAATGTAAGCACTAATTGACTTGTTTTTTAATCCCTGAAAAGCGGACATTGGCAAGCGTCACAAACTCTATATATGAAGAAAAATATAATGTTCTACCATAATATTTGTATGTATGAGTTTTGCCTGAATTTATTGTGTATGCACAATGAAAAAATTCCAATCACATTTTCAGTGAAAAGTGAGAAACTAACTGATTAACTGCACACCCGCACAGGTGTTTTCTATCTGGCTGATTAGACCTCTGTTCAGGTTGAAGCTGGGTGGAGCTATGCTGGGAATTACATGTCACCAAACTCTGTGAACCAATAAGAATGATACCTGCTCTAACAGGTACAACAAGACCAAAAGAACGGTGAGGGAGATGCCAATCAAGCACCGGCTGTACACACCCACACTGTCCTTAGAAGAGGTCTAATTAGGACTTAAGTGAAAACACTGGTGTGCGGGGACCAAATTGCTTGGATTTAACTTTGACTAACATTGTTCAACCTTTGCTCAAATAAAGCACAAATCATTTTGACATCACGCGGAGTTCTTATTTTTAATCTTGTATGACAAAGAATGGAAAAAAGATATACATAGAAATGTATGCAAATTAATCAGCATGGTATGATAGTTAAAATGAGAATTCAGAATAATGAGCGGTATGGTGATTAGCATTTCACATTTGTGTCTGGCACTGTTTTGTCTGCTGTGAACATGAAGTGGAGAAATGATAAAACATTTATCTCACTGACTGAACAGCATCAATATATACACTAGAGGGCACTGCTCCCTCATTCAGTGCACCAAAGTGGAAAACAAGGATAATGGAAAATCTTCTGGTGTGGTATAACACTGACAAAACGGAGACAGCCTGCATTAATTAATAATGACAATTAAATTGATTCAATGAATAAAGTCAACCTAATTAAATGCTACATTAAACGCTTTTGACTTCTCGAGACAGACTTGGGTGCAGAGTGGAGGCATTTCATACTCACTTGAAGACCTTTCAAGTATTTCCTATAATAATGAATCAGTAGGAAAATGGCCACAGCAAAGATGGTACAGTGCAGCTCTGGAGGAAAGCTCAGGTGTCTGATCTCAGGAGATTTGCGTCACTGAGCTGCACTTTTCCGCCTCTGTCTTCTCTGCAAAGAGAGAGCAACAGATGAGAGAGGGGTGTCAGAGAGAAAGAGAGAGAGAGAAAGAGAGAGAGAGGAGGGACGGGGAGGTGTTAAAGGGGGTTGAAAGTGTCACCAGGATGATTGTCCAGTTTGAATACTGGCATCCACGTTCCCATGAAAGAACTATTTATAATCTTGTTTCACACAAGCCAAGACTCCTCGTCGCTCATCAGCATCCTCTGATGTTAGACCCCCACAGAGCGTTTGTTACACTTCAGGCTTGAGACTGAGCCAGAACTGTAGGAGCCATAGACATACATTATGTATATATATATCAGTCAACAGATCTACCCAGAGTGGAGCTGTGTGTGTCATGAATCTGGCTCTCGGCTCGTCTGGCAGTTTCCACGGTTACCAATGATAGTTGTGGAGGAGGAAGAGGATCAGATTGTGACGTTGGTTTGTCATCTCAAAGGTGCTTTGTCACAATTGCGTTGAAGAAATTATAGATGCGAACATGAATATTCTTCAGGTGTTTAACAGATGATTATGGGAAAGCAGGCTCAAACTGTTTGTGTTAAACCACTCAAGTGTATAAATTGAGCATTTGCTTGGGCTCTAATTGGGGTTTCTGTGACACTGCTGAAACACAGTCTAATTAAGGCTTCCATTTTAACAAGCAGTTCTGCTGGGGTCTGTGCTGTGTTGACTCTGACTCACCAGCTGTTGGTCCGGAGAACCACAGACAATCTCAAGTTTTGCTCATAGCACAGAGAGTCATGGCACAACCAAACATTGTTATAATTGAATGTTAGGCATGACGCCTGTGGTTGGGGACAGATGTATCGGTATGGTTAAAGCTGTGCAGGTGGGTTGGAGCTTTGAGTTACATGAGACACACCCTGCCCTGCATACATTTGCTCAGCAGACCCATCAGACCTCCTGGTCCGAGCTGTCTGGAAAGGAACCATGACATCTTGCTCAAACGTCATCAATGCGATTAAAAATTGAAGCCTGTTCAGCAGTCACCATTTGTGTGTGTGTAACTGTGGCTGTGCATTTGCTGTCTGGCCAGTGCTTGGGGTCACTCTCGGGCAGCAAAGGAGACAGACAGTATGAGGTCACATGTGCTTGACTACTGTTGTCTCCGCTTTCCTGTTTGTCCACCGGGAACAAATGTTGTGTTGTTTACGTACCAGACCTCTTTGTCACTGCTGCTGTTTCTCTCTTGTTCGTTGTTTTCTGCAGTACAGAACAATGATTTTCTGGTAACTGAACAGTGGTTGGATTTTGTTCTTGAGTTGTTTTCTGGAAATTTCTCTAAGAGCCTGGAGAGGTCAGTGTGTTTGTAGGTCAGGTAGGAGATTGTGGAGGTCATGTCAAGAGAGGAGAGGACCAAAAACATGCTGACTACATGGATATCTATAGGACCAAACTGCACAGGAAGGCAGGAGAGAAAATACCTGTTTGAAAAGAGAGAGGGGAGCAAAGAAAGAGGATGAACATAAAGAATGTATGTGATTAGCAAAAAGAGAAAGAATACCTGCGTGTGTTCTTGGTCAGTCGCTGCGGTTCGGCCTGTGGACTCCAAAAGCTGTGATGAAGACATTCACGACCACAATCACAAAAACCAGGCCTGTGGCCAAGTTTTCCATAAAGTTCAGCCTCCAATGCTTTTGCTCATCATTCAGATTCCATTGAACTGTGGACAAAACCAGGAAATACAATTTAACAACACAAACACACACTCAATAAATGTCTAGTCAAACATCAGCAATCTACTTTATTCTGGGACCCAAGCCAAATCATTTTATACAGACTTACTGTCAACCAGCAGTCAATGTATACTGAACAGGGAGTTCACTTTCTATGAGTGATCAAACAAAAATGCAGAGTATCAAATATTTAATTTTGACAAGGTCATATGAGGATGTGTAACTGAAATTCATCATGATGAATGAGTCTAATAATAAATAGAAAACATATTAGGATTTTTACCAAAAGAAAGTTGGAAATTCTACACATTTATACACAACTTTGTTTGATTTAAAGAGTTTCTGAATACATTTCTACAGAATGCCATTTCAGCTTCTCTAATAATTAAATCATTTTTATGAATAGATAACAAAACATTACAGTATCCATTAATGTAAGTAAAATATATCACAAAGTAAATGACAAAGTATATTTTACAGAAGCTTCTTTAAATGATGAGCTATTAACACTAATGTTCTGTTTGGGCTCCTGGAGAGCCGGGGTCCTCTTAGTTAGCTCAAAAAGAATATACTTAATATTGTTTTATCACCATGATACCTCATGACTTTCCTAATTCTATGAGAAATGCTTACAAACCTTATTTTGAATTGATTTGTTACAGAAGATGATGTTTAACTGTTTGGGGTCTGAGAGACTCCAGCTATAAAACCTGGTTAATTACAGTGGATTCATCTTCTCTATATACCTGTGATTGGTGTTGACAGTAATGTTTATTCAGCAATATCCTCCCAAATCCCAAATATGTCTGTTTGGATTTATGTAATTTGAGTTTTATAAGGAGTCTACACACTGTACATTTCTTTGTCTGAGAAAAGCATTTGTTTATGCACTAGCCCATTTTTCATTTTGACACATCAAATGTGCAAGCTCAGTTAGAAATGAAGGAACATTTCAATACTTTAAAATTTAAAGGACAAATTATTCCTATAGTCAACAGATGTTCAATGTTCAATTTAATGCTGATATGGGTACCATACAAGAATAATATAGATGTGCAGTGGTAGTATTAAGGTATAAAATCAACAAGCTTTACCTTCGACTTCACATCCAAATACTTATTTGTGGGCATTGTTGTGGATACATTCATTTAAGAAAGGCAAAGACAATGCAGAAATAAACAGGACAATAAAGGGAAGAGTGAACTGATCAAGGGAAGCTTGTATTTCCCATATAACACTGCTTCATTAAATTTGTGCTTTGTTACACAGAAAATGATGAAAAAACAACAAATCCATGTTGTGCTAATGCCATAAATGTCATCTTCATCATCACAGGGACTGGTCTATGAATAATGCAAAATTAAGGTGTGATCAGGGAAATGTGTGTGGGGGAAGTATACAGTAGTTCTGACTCTACAGGCACATGCTATGTGTATGTGTGCATATGTGAGTGTGTGGAGATTACCAAAGGTTAAATGGTGTAAGGACCCCGCCTGGTAGTGTGTGTGTGTGTGTGTGTGTGTGTGTGTGTGTGTGTGTGTGTGTGTGTGTGTGTGTGTTTGATCTGCCTGGGGTGGGGCGGACTGGTATTGGGGGGGGGGTGGCGTTGATGGTATGTGGGCCACTCACATCACGCATCACTGGCTCCATTAGACAGAGCTGGATTCATGGGAGAGGGAGGGGAGGATGGTGGGGGAGAGCAGAGAGGGCAGCGGGGTTCAGAACAGTCAAAGAAAATGAAGGAAGAGGAATGAAAAGAGCGTTGAGAATGAGATGTTTGATATTCTGGTGGAGACGAGGGGGGCTGGTGGAGTCAGAGGATTTGGTGGATGGAGGGGGTCAAAGTGGGCAGGCCTTCATGAATGCATTAATGTGTGATGACTCTATGTCTCTGACTCGACCTTGTTTCTGACACGAGGCTTTAGAAAAACTATGGCCTACAATATCTCACTGAAAATTGATTAGATTTTAGATTAATAAGATTCTAGATTACTAGAAAACAATTTATGTTAGTATATACCAGCAAGATTGTTATATTACAGGTATGGAGACGATACTGACATATTTTTTAATTTACTTCTCCTGCAAGAGCTGAGATGAGTCAGTGTGACCCAGCTAAAGTTCACTGACCCACTATTCAGTCCTTCAGAAGAAAATTAACCGTCACTGGTACATCTCATCCTAACTCATCTTTACATCTTCATGGGCCTGTTTTTCCCCACCCCAGATATAGCTTTTAAAATGTAAACATCCTCAAAGTCTGTGGACATGTGAATAGCTAGCATTTTTCTATTTACTCCAAGACGTGCAGAGACACGCACACTGACACAGACATACTGACATATTTACACACACACATACACAGCAGAGAAATTAAATAACTTCCCTCCCTGGACTCCCAGGAGCACTAAGTGAACTCTGACCTGGTGTTAAGTCTGGTTGCCATGGTTACAGCTACAGTCCAACTGGTAATAGGTTGTTTGTCAGGAGTCAGTGGACTTGACATTGCTGAGGGACAAGGGTGGAGGAGGATGAAACACAAAGGGCATGTGAAGGTTGTGAAGCTTGCCAGACAGCAGACACACCTCTGGTATATACCAAAAGGGCTCGGGCTGTGTTTATTTATTTTCTCACCTATGAAGATAAGCAGGATCCCAACTGTGACCTGCAGACAGAGGGAGATGCTGATTAGGGTGATGATAGAGGTGTAAAAAGAGAAGTTTGGCCCCTGCTCCAGCACAGCCTTTAGCTGGGAAGCGTTAGCCATCAGTAGAGCCACATCCAACATGCTCTCAGCTGCACTCTTCTTATTGGCATAGTGGTTGATGTTCAGAGGGGCTGGGCTGCCGGGCCAAGCATCTGGACGAGAGGCCTGGGGAGAGAAGAAAGTAACTGGCACAGAGATAATGTTGATGGCTTTGAGATAACGCCTGAAAGTAGAATGCCTGGAGATAAACAGAAATGCATGCTCTGTGCTGCTGCGTCTTGTTCTCCCAACAGAACAACAAGGCAACATGTTGATGAGACTAGCAGTAATTTTGTGCTTCCTGTGCAGTGATGGTGAGGATCTGGTTATCATTCTGACCTAATTAGCACAACGCGCAGCCATTATAGAAGAGTGACCTTTGAAAAACAGAGCTATTAGTACAGCAAAGAGATACTGACATGCTGGTAACAGACCCATTAAAACATAGTGAACATGAACAAGTTAGCGTAAGTGGTGTTCAAGGCTTTCCACTTGCTATGGTTTCAGATGATCACATTCAATCTGCAAATGTGTTGCTGTGAGATCTCTATTGCACTAATTTTGTTGACTTTTCAAACCAAAGCAGTGTCTAACTGTCAGTCTTGTGGTTGAAAACATACACCCCCGTCCCTTGAAGCAGGATAACAGAGTTAGCTAGATAAATGCACTGACTAAAGCAGTATCCAGCTAACTCACCCCAGAAAAGGCTCTTTTTTGCAACATCAGCATCAATCCTGCTCTGTGAGACAGCCCTGGTGATTGTTTAACATTATATTTTTACTGTATATCGAGCAGATAACAAAATGCATCTAAATGCACAGTATTTCATGTGTTATATTACATATTCTATACACCGGGGACTTGCTGAGTGATCAATAGTTGATTCAAGCATTAATGAAAATGAATCTTAGTTTTAAGTTGAATACTACAACCTATTGATTCTTGTGTGGGTGTTGATTATGTAATAAAAGCGTAGCTAGTGTGTTAGTTAGTGGGTGTGTGTGTGTGTGTGTGTGTGTGTGTGTGTGTGTGTGTGTGTGTGTGTGTGTGTGTGTGTGTGTTTGTCTACTCCATCCCAGTGGACTCTGCACCGGCACCGTCAAGAGAAAAACATGTTCTGGGTCAGCAGGTGCTGGATAAACAGTCTGCTGGTTGATAAATAAAAAAATTGCTCTCTTTCAAAATGTTAAAAAAACATCTGCTGCTGAATGAACACCCAATTGGAACTACTTTTCAGCAATGAATGGCTAACACCTGAGCATCATCACTAAACGACTTGGTCGTGTCAAGGCCTAAAACTCGCTCACCCACTGCGAACCTGAAATAATCAGCAATGCTCGCAGTATCTTCCTCGACACTGAAGCCTTCCCCTTTTCTCACAACACACCCCTGCAGCTGCAGAGAGCATGGTTTGTCAGGGATTAACCAAACCACAGAGCTGGTACGATCTGTCTTCCTTCTGCTCCAGGGATAGAGACTAAAAGAGAAAAGAAGAGCTGTACCCTCTAATTTGCTATGGGGAAGGCTACAGTGAATTACAATGTCTTTAGGAGATTCACAACAATCAGCTTGCATGGTTAAATTGATGTCTGAAGGGGAAGTACAAACTGCACAGAAGGTGTGGTAGTGGGGGTTGGAGAAGAGTTAGTACTCTGGTTGCAGTAATTATCCTGATGAGTTTTTTTTTTTTCAATCTGTGATAACTACTGGACAAGCCATGTTTAATTCTCTTAATAAGCCAATAAGCCATTGCTTTTTAGGACATGGATTACATGTGTAACTGGCCAAGTTCTTCATCTGGCAGAGTACCTAATATAATTTTAGATTTTATCATTTGGCATTGCTTCATGTGAACACTGCAGAGACATCCCGTCAACATCTAGCAAACTTATAAAAAAAAAAAAAAAAAAAAGCTTGGTGAGCTTTCTCCAAATCTTTTTCACTCTGAGCCATAATGCCCTGTGGTAAGACTCATAACAAGGAATTAAGCAGCTCTTCAAAACATGTTTCCCTAGATTTCACGGGGAAAAGGCAATGTGGCGTGGCGTAGTGCCTTTGTGACTGTGATTTGTGCCAAATGCCACAAAATGGCACACTGTCATGACGTGTCAGGGTCAGCCATTCTGCTCTCAAACACTGACACAGGCTTTTCAAAGACAGCCCTTTATCCCAGAGTCAACAGACCACAGTGAGATAATGCTTGTTGTGAGATCACAGGTTCGAAACGTGTACTCAGTATGTCTAGAAACACAGGAGATGATTTTTCTCCAAAATTCACCAGTAAACATAAAAAACTCCTTTTGACGTATTGTATTGTGTGTATAGTAGGCCAAAAGTAAAGGCCACCTACTCAGGCAGTCCTAAGTTTTTTTCAGGATTAATCCTGCTGTCTACTCATATCATATGGCTGAGAACATAAGATAACAACTAATCACAGCAGAGGAGACAATGTAGAACAATATAGGCCATATATAGTCCGTGGTATTTCACACTGTGCTGGCGTGAAGGAGAGGGAGGGCACGCTACACGTGCAGATATCCTTATTACAGAATGCATCTGAGCTAGGCTTTCATTTGGATAACACATCAAGTTGAAAAACCTGCAAGACAACCTACATTTGCATATTTGCACTGAGTTCTTGTCAGTCACCCAGGCATCTATTGTTATTTTGCACATACTAAAACGAATAGTTCTCATTAAGTCAATCGTTCTGTACTGGTCCTAGGTTTCAATGCTTATTTTTGTGATGAATTATTCACACTGCGTTCCTTGTCTGAAATAGACTCGGGGGACACATTGAGGAGAAAAAAAGGGAGGAAGATGAGGAGGGGAGGGAAGACAGAGAGAGACGGAAAAGTTGTTTGAATCTGTTTTAACTCTCAGTTATGCGTCACTGAGGAATAGCTGATTGTTTCATACAATACTATTTAGCATATCCTGCTTTCTGCAGAATCATATCAGTTATCACTAATATTACAGTTATAAGAAAAGCAGATGATTGAAGTCATTTATTCATAGAGGACCCCTTAGAAGGATTAATGTTGACCAAAGTGCTAAGAGACGTTCAGTTATATAAACTGAACAACTAGATGAATGAATTAGTAGATACATAATGAATAAATATCACCTAAACAACCTGTACTGCCTGTAACATAATTAGGAAATAAAGAATATTTTCTAGTTTTAGAATTATGTTATATTTATTGATATTAACATAAAATGTGAAAGCACAGTAGAAAAAACACATAAAGCAGAGAGAATAGGGACACAGTCACAACAGTTTACTGTCACTTATCGATTGAGTAGTCAAATGGATCTTCTAAACAGGATTATAAAGGAAAGCTGAAGGGGGTAGAGAGAGAGGGGGTGACACACAGCAAAGGGCAACAGATATGACCTGAACCCATGTCCCCTGCAGCATGGACCCAGCCACTGCACATGGGGCCCATCTCCACCAGGTGACCAAACCAGGCGAAGCCCTAAACAGGATTTAAAAACTAAAGGAAGAAGAAAATCTCATACTGGGTTGTTAACTGTTCTCTGTTTTGTACGATGGAATGCATGATCACCGTTAGATTGTAAATGGGGAGGAGTAATTGGGCTGAAAAACTACAGGGCCTGGAAGTAATTTACGGAAAGATCAGGTTAAGCGAGATTCAAACGGATGCCGATTCCTGCAGTACTTTACAAATAAAAATACAAATAAAAGACAGCTTCTTTACTTCCAAAGCTACAAACTACCCTTTCACTCATGAGGAAATACAGTTGGGGCCCATCATAAATAATTATTTTAATGTCTTCCTCATAGCTAGTTGCAGTGCAACTTCTGGAAGGCTGCAATTTCTAAATTCCTGATATTGAACCTAAACCTTAAACCTAATTGAATCATAAAATAGATTAAATTATACATAAATAGACTTCTCATTGTGTATTCAAAGGCCCACTAAAGTTCTGGCTTACTTCCAAGCAGAAGAAATGAACTCATTCAACTTGCACACCTAATCCTAAACTTTACCCCCTTTTCCCACATTGTCACACTAACTGATTACAGCTAAGCTAAATACCTGCGTGTCAGTTACTGTGAGAGTATTGCTTTGTACCACTTAGTTCTGTATCTGACATGGAGAAAGCTCTTTGCAGAAACAATGCAGGACACCACTTAAAGACACGTTGAGACTATGCATATATTATTCAGTTAATTGAACTTGCTACTGTTCAGCAACATGATGAAAAAGCAAATGAACTTGCATCTGTAACTGCATGGGTGTGTGTGTGGGTTTCCCCTCCTTTTGTTTTTTTTTTTCATACATCAGCACTTCTTTGCTTTCCATCCATCATGTCCTCTCAGCAAGCTCCCTCTCTCACTCACCTCAAACGCTGGCCCTCTTCCAGATGAGGATCGACCCAACTGTAAATCTAATTTCCATGATTCTCTGTAGGGCTTTTAGTTTTACAGCCTTACACAGTGCAAAGCAAACATGGCTGTGTTTAGAGCATGGTCTATTGCTCAGAAAATCTCATTCTAGAGAAAGTTGCAATGCAAAACCTAATGATTATCAGAAAAAACAAAAGGACATCCTCAAGAATGTGCTAATGCTGCACTGAAATCTGACACCGAATCTAATTGGTCTTAGATTTCAGTGTAAAACAGACACAGATATTAAAAGACTGTGGAAAGTCTGCATATAAGAACAACCATGGATTGATTCCATTCTTATCGACTCACACTGGAGGAAGACACATTGTAAATGAGACCAGTTGCTAGTTTTATTGAGCGTAAGGGTATTACGTTCTGCATCTGTTGGCTGAGCTCTGACAGCGACAAGACAAGGAAGTACCTCTGTCTGCCAGGGTCTCTCTCTCTCTCTTCCTTCTCCCTTCTTCCTCAAACACACACGCACACACTTACATGTCCATCTGAAATTAAATGGTGCTATTAAGACAGTGCATATGGAGATGACATAGCAAAGTCCATCTCCTTGCCCTGTAAAACTGGATGCAACTCTGAACCACCATATATTGTAATTACTTGTCAAATGGCAACTTCAATCACCACATAAAACCCAATAAACACTCACTGTCCTGCAACAATCTAATTGTGGCATGAAATAGGATGACATTACGTAAAAGTGAAACTATGTGTGTGCATGTGTTTGTGTGTGCATTTTGACCAGGGAAGTGGAAACAAAGGAGCACATTCAGTATTTATAAGGTCACTCAGGTGCCAACAATGTTTCAGTCCTCAACTGAACCAGACTGTCACCTGATCAGTAGGCCTGAAAACAGACATTTCTGTTTAAATGTTTCCTTTTTTTGGACTTGTTTCTGTGTGGACGTGCAATCTATCCCATTCAGCATAATTTCTGGTCTGCAAAGTTTAGAAATTGTTTCCCCCCCTCATATAGATTACATTTAATATGAGAAGAGGTCACATGGGGTGGATGCTCCAACGTGATCACCTTACATAAAAATACAATAACACCGTAAACTATGGCTTTTACTGTGGCTATTACCACAACTTCACAACTTTAGTATTCATTGCATGACTGCTGCATTGAATTCTCCTCAATTTTCCAGGTACTAAATGTGTCCATTTCTAGGCTCTTGTTTAGCACGGTTCCCCTGTGATTGGATACCGTTGTTTGCATGAAAGCGAGATTAAAAAATCCCCTTGGTGGGCAGACAAACATTGCGTCCAGGCTTTTCTAATTTCTTGCAGTTGTCACACCTTAACATACCAATCTATTCTACTTCAAATCAGTCACATATATACCTAGCCTATAGCCTAGTATGGCATTTACCTGTTTCCCTTATAAAAATGGTTTCAAATATCTTACCTCAGTCCCACTTCCCCTGTTGCTGCTGATGATGTTCATCATCATCTCCCCATGCGTGTGTGATACTGCACCTCCGCCGCAGGCTGCAGCTCAAAGTGTCCTGTTATACGGGAAGAGAAGACGAGACCTGCAAGCATATCGCCTACTTAACAGATGCACATGCACTTATTCTGTCATGTGCCACAACAATGATGCATACATTTTCATTTATCTTTTTTTGTTGTTGTTGAGGAAATTGTGTTGCACAGCAAGCTGTTGAACCGTGAGTGAGCAGCGGAGAGAAAAGACACGTGATTGGACGGAGTTGGTTGAAGGGCGTGAAAGAACTGTATACAGACAGATACTAGGCTTTAAAAAAAATAATCATTTAACCACTTTGTCGTTCACTTGCACTGGAGTCTTTGTAGCTCTTTTTTTTTTTTCATGTGAGATTTAACATGTGTCACTCTTTTGCAGTGGAACAGCTACAGCAGTATGAGTAGGCTCCTCCGTGGTGTCCCAGCGTGCAGTGTTATTGGACGGTCCCCCCTCCAGTCGTTACCAGGGGCGTGGAACCAAGCGAGCTGAATGGGGAAACACATTTGTGTGTCTCGCCGTTTAATCTAATGGGGGTAAGAGAGACAGAGGCAAGCGAAAACAGTTGTCCGCGTAAATTAATTGCAGATCGAGGAGGGGGGTAAAAAAAAATACCCCTGTGTTTTAAAGCGGCCCGACTGGTTTATGTGGTTTTTTTGTAACTAGCCGCGGCGGCATCGTGTGTTGCTGCTGTATCTGCAACCCGAAGAGAGAGGGATGCGAGGACTTGGAAGGAGATAAATACAACGGATTCATCTATTTTATTTTATTTTTTCTTCTTGTCACTGTGGGGTTTGTGTTCAGACTTACTTGAATATGGATTTCTTTGCGGTTTTTTGAGGGGGTTAGCTCTCGTACGTGTAAAAAAATGGGGATAATATGCAGATAGGGCGTTTTTTAAATAAAAAGTCCACCTTTTTTCTGCCGTGGACAGTCGGCTAGCGTTAGCGACCTGGCAGGTCTGCAGTGTCCGTGTATCGCTGTGGAGTTGTTTTATTAGCCGAGGTTTTTGGTCGTTTTCATCGCTTTTTTGAACTCGGTAAGTCGTGTCACGTCTGTTAATTATATCATGTTTTTAAAAAAAGACTAAGCTAACCTTCATTTTAATGTGAAGGCGTTAAGTTGGCACCATTAAACGTTAGTTTTCCTGAATTAACGTTAGGAGCCTGTTTTGCTAGTCTTGGCCAATGGTGGCTTCTTCCTTAACGATATGTGTGTTTTAACTCATGTGCTCGTCTTTCCATCCACCTGCTTTTATTGACGCCAACTAAACTTCAAACTCCGTAATGACTTGACACCCTTAAACCCGATATACAGCTTCAGCATTGCCCCCCCCCACACACACACCAGTATTTGTTGGGTTTTTCTGTCTACTAACATTTTTAATTTTTTTTGCAGCCTTTGATATCGGATGAAATCTCGTCTATGTCATCCATCCCGGTGTTGTTAGGGGCCTCTGCTGGCAAACTGCGTCACCGAGTGGGCACTGCAGGTACTCATCTTTAAATCTGCATGTTGGGAAGTCTGGCCATGGCACGAATGACCTGGAAACCAAAGTGACTGAACTTCTAAATCACCATGGAGCCGGACGCGAGTTCAAACTCCGAGCCCCACCAAGAACCGAAATATCCATCTGTAACCAACTCTCAGTGTGAACTGGGCGTGAATATGTACGAGGCCATGGGTGATGGAAATGTCAATCTGGTGGACCCAGTAGTGAGAGGTGGGAGTGACCCCAGTGCATGTTCTTCCTCCAGCTATCAGAGGATTGTGCATCAGAGATTCATCAGGAGAAGTCTGTGGTTCTCGGACACAGATGAGCAGGCCTACGAAGCACCTGAATGTGATAACAGGAGTAAGATCCTGAACATAAACCTGCGGACAATAGTGGACAGGACACGGGGGACTAGTGGCGGGATACAGGAAGGTTCCAGCACTGAAAGTCAAGGTGGGCAAAAAGAAAGTGCAACGGAGAGCGCCAGTGCCGATGAGGAGAAGGAGAAAGGTGGAGATGCGTTAAATCTCACGTGCAACGATGCTGGTAAAATGGCTATCAAGGCAGCCAGTGAGGAGAATGAGGAGGAGGCAGAGATGAAAGCAGTCTCCACATCTCCGGGAGGAAGATTTCTCAAATTTGACATAGAGCTGGGGAGAGGGTCCTTCAAGACGGTCTACAAGGGCCTGGACACTGAGACCTGGGTGGAAGTGGCCTGGTGTGAGCTTCAGGTAAAGTACTAAAACAATCGATCAGCTTTACAGTCTCTTTCTGTGACACCCAAGGACAGTGTCGGCGTCACTTAAGTATATTCAACATTCTATACCACCCTTTTTTTTTTTTCAAATTCTTGTACTTGCCGATGGGCGTAGGAGACACAAAACAATAAATGTAATGTAATAACTATCTTCACATTTTTGTTTTCAACACAAGAAATAGATTAAATTGCAATTAGTGATTTATATAAGAGGGGGAATGCCAGACCTCCCTCTCTGTGCTCCCCCTCTCTGTCCGTGGAGGTTCACACATCACGCTACTATAATGGTGATGTCTTCAGGGAGCTGTCAGTCAGCCAGAGTCTCGTGGGGAAAGTCCACTAAGTTGCAAATGGGTTACCACTACATTTTAAATGGTTTACACAGGAAAAGTGATTGACAAGCACTAGCTGCTGATGTGGAGCCACATCCCACCACTGAAGCATAGTGATCAGCAGTTTTGCAAATGCACGAGGAGAGTCTATCTTGTCTTGCATTACACAGACACAGGAAAATCACCAGCTTAGACTGTGCAAAGGTATTAGCTAATTATTTCCGTCCTTTGGATACTGCAGCAGAGATTATCTCTCTCTCCCTCTCTCTCCCAGGAGGCTTAAGGGGGACTACAGTAAGCATGACTGCCCCCCCACCCTCAAAGAAAGAAAACCTGTGCTGTGAATTGTTTTTCTTTCACCATTCTGATTAAAAATAGTTAAAGATTAATTTCCAACAGTTTAAGTTCAGCCAACCTTCGTTTTTTGCTCTAGTCATTTGCCCAGCTGATATTTTATGTCACTGAGCACAGTTATCAGATCGGACAGTGCAGGAGATGCTTGTGTGTGCTCCGTCCCAGCAGTGTGTCTGACTGTTATGAGCTGTGCTACTCCCTACCTCCTTCCCTCCCTCTGTGCAACAGGAGGTAGGCAGACAGGAAGCAGCTGAAGTGCACTGTAGCCTGCTGGGAACCGTGTGGCGGTCCTGTGGCCTCAATGAATACTAATGCCTAGGGTACTGAAAACATGCTGCGTCAGTAACCTGAGAGACTAAAGAATGCAAACTGCTCGATGCATTGAAAGAACTAAACCTGTTTTGTATGACCGTCGCGCCACGAGGCGGTGACACATTTCTTAACCTGGACCTGGATAGAATGGCTAGGAATGAGTAAAGATACAGTAGTGCTGATAGCCACGGTGACTTCACTTAGATGATGATGATGATGTCATGCAGGCTGATTGTAGCGATGAGCAATCCCACATCTTCCTCAGCCTGACAACACTGAGCTGCAATTGGACTCAGCGGATGATAGGATGCAGAACCGGAAGCAATTTACTGTGTTTTATTCTCCCCTAGTGACACACATTAAAACTCCCTCTAGTGGACGATCAATAATGGATGTTAATTACAATACAAATGGTCCTTTCTCACAATCGTGTTCTGATCTAGGCGCACTGTCATATATTGTAGCTTTGTGCTGGCTGTCTTCGATTAAAAAACTGTTGAATAAACAAAATACTGTGCTGACCTGATCGATGTGTTTCATCAGAGCACTTTCTGGCCCATTAGCTTACTGAGTGGATCCGAACCGTTGCTTGAGACTTTGTTTGCCTCAGTCAGTAAGGTGACACGTGGCGCCTTCTTCAGTTGATCACAATTGGCTTGTGATCTCATGTTGATTAGTCTTGCCTTTTATTAAATTGACCATCCAGTGAGTTGAACCATCCAACAGTTTTTTGTTTGGCTTGTGTTTTCACAAGTTAGACTTTTCTCCTTGCTACATTACAGTAGGACTCCAACTAAAGATAGTTTTGATTATCGATTAACCTGTTAAATATTTTCTTGATTAATTGTCTAAGTTTTAAAGTGCCAAACTGTCCACCGTAATTTCCCTAAGGTGAGTCTAATGTGATATCTTCAGATACATTTGCTGTTTGTTGATAAAATGTTATGGTTCCTGGTTCTAAAAATGTGTGAATAATTTTCTCTTCCTTGTTGTACTTCCTTGTGTTTTTTATACTTTAAAGTTGTGTTGAATTTAGAGTTTGTAGCCCCTTAGGGATTTACCAGGATGCTTAATGTTGTTGTGTGGCATGAAAGGAGTCATTGTAAAAACTAATCTGTTGACCAAGAACCCACACTAGGCACAATCACATCAGATCTTCCTGTCAATATTCAGCAAACAGCAGTGGTGCAAGTACAAGTATCAACTAGTCTTAAGGTTGCACCTGAAGTAGGGAAGCATTTATGCCTGTATTATGCATTTAGTGTTGCATGCAGATGAAGCCAGCTTGACCTTACTAAGGAAACTGTGGTGGAAGACGGGGGAAGACAGAGGAGTTCTCTGTGAAAGAGATATGGCTCTGTGATTTTCCACTGTTTTCCCTCTTTCCAGTGGTCACATGATTTCTCTGTCTAGAAATTTTAATCTGGTCCTGTGTTTATTCTCTCTCTCTCTCTCTCTCTCTCTCTCTCACTCTCACTCTCACACTCACACTCACACACACACACACACACTCTCACTCTCACTCCCCTGCCCCTTTCCTCCTATGCCCGCCCCTTTCCTCCTATGCCCATCTCTCCCACATCTCTGTTTTTATGCCAGGCTGCTGGCATAACACAGATGGCCCTGGCTCAGGCAAGGATGTTAATCTGAGAGAAAGATGGCTGTTGAGTTTTTCATTGTCGGGAAGAAACACTTCTTGTGTTTCTGTTTGCCTCATTCTATCACTGGAATTTATTTTTTAAACTTTGGAAACTTCCTGTTTCTGCCAATTGTGGCTCTGTGTATAGATTTTTATCTTAGTGTTGAATGCTGTGCGCACACTTGCAGACACAGGGTTTACTTCTGACTTTGCAGGCCACTCTGTGGTATTTGGCAGTGAGCTTGTTGTTCTGTAGATTAAATCTGGTTCTCAGCTTGTGAATGCAGAACTCACAATGATACCATGGCAGTGATATGAAGCTGCTTGTCTCTGAGTGTTGGCTGGAGATTTGGCAGTTCTTAAACCAAACAAACCCAGCAAATGACACCATGAGTCACTAGGTCAATTTCTTGGTTCCAAACACTGGATTTTGTTGTAATGGTAGATTAGATGGAGCCATGTTATAGGATGTTAATGGGTTTCTGAGCATAGTTTATGACTGACTTAACATGTATAGCGCTAACAACAACAACCCGTACTTGACAGCTGAGATGGAAAAAGGAAAACAAAGTTGGAGATGTGAAGTGGGTCATTGGTTACAGCCCATTTGGCATTAGGAGGCCCGGGGAAGCAGGGGCAGCCAGACCTAGCGGCTGTAGCTAACAATGCCTTGTCAGTGGCCTCATCTTCAGGCATGCCGGAGCTCCTGTGTCACTCAGCCAACCAAAGACCCTGAGGGAAGGAGGACAAGCCTGTTAGAGCCACAGCAATGCGGCCTGTGGTATTGCTCCAACAGGCTTGTTGGAAAGAGGCTAGTTAATGGAATCTCCAGATGGATGAAAATTTGAAGGAAAAACCAACACAAACCTCTTAGCCCCTCTCTGTTCCCCCCTAGCTGTTCAATTAATTCACATAATTTTCATTCTCATCAAACCATTCAATGACCCCTTATGTCCTATATGAATGCATTGCCATGTTTAATTCATTCAGTCGCAATTTTTCATTTAATTTGTCCCTGTCTGTCCCCCCCTTTGTTGAGACAGTTATAAGTATTTGTAACAAAATCTCGAAGTCAGAGGACTTCTGTAAGTTTAATATGCTTGGTAGTAAGAGCTTTATTATACAGAGGTGGACAGAATTAAAGAAACACCTTACAGTACATTGCAGTAGCCCAGAATGCATTTGTTGAAGCTCATAATGCTTGTCAGATGGGTTGTTTAGTCACTTTCAGGACCACAGTTTAGAGTATTGTTAAGCAAATTCCAGTTGTATTTTGGTCAGTTTTTGGTGACGCTCTATGTATGTCAGCTGTATTTTTGATTGCATCACATCTGACTAATTGTTATCATATTGTCGTCATTGATCATATCAGGATTCAGTGAACAACCTCCAGAGACTCACCTTTAGCATACGTACACACTGCAGTTTAACCTTGAACTTTTAACTAAATGGCCTTTGACCTCCCTCTTCCCTCCCTCAACAATAGCAAGTGTCACAACTACTCATTAAGACTTTAATCCCTTTTGGAATTTAAGATGGTTATTTGAATGAAGAATGAATCTGGGGCACCTCTATATCCTGTTAAGGCCTCCTGCTTAGGCTCTGTGGTATGAAGATGAAGGATACTTTTGATACACACTCTCGTTGACCTCTGCATCACTAAGCTATTTATGTTATAATGAGTGGAAAACAAATGGCCACACAGTAGCACTTGTTTCTTAAATCTAACTGTAAACTGTTGACATATTATTTTGACAGCTCATTTTATATGTTAAGCCTCTTACGTTCAAGGACTGTTTGATAGATTAGAGTTTTTCTGTTTAGTCTGAGTAAAATCACTTTTAAAATTATGGCTGGGATATATGTACATGTCGTACATCCATCTAAGGGTTTGTGTGCGTGCGTGCGTGCGTGTGTGTGAGTATTTGCAGGGTTTTCCCCCCAGCTTATAATGAGGCAACGGTGGTACCAAAGGTGTGACCTACTGAACCGTAGTTAAATTTATTTTTATGCAAAATACATTTAAAGTTAATGCACAAGGCCGTATATAGGCTGCACATGGTGTATTGCATGAACATAAGCAATACCGAGTAACCTTCTGATAAATTCTAACTTTATTATGCTTATTGGATAGTGTTTGGTAATTTAAGAGTTTGTAATTTCTGGTGATGTTGCACAGGGTTGACCTGTAGTAAAAGGTGTCAATGATATTCTGTTCACCATGGGAAGAAATGTTACAAAAATAAGGGAGAAACGCAAATGATCTTCTGTTGTGTGTGACAGGTGGCTATACAACAGCACAACATAAATACATTTTGGACTAACATATGTCTGTTT